AAAAAGGAAAGGTGAGGAGAAGATTCTAGTTACCTGAGATTTTTCATTACTTGTGGCTTTGCAATAAATCATGTAAGAATAATAATATCCTCAAGTTTAGAGTTCAAAATAGAAACACTATATGCTAATATTTGTAACTAGCTATTAATGCTTAAGATAAACAGGCTGGACATCAGGAAACTTGAACCTGAGGAATATTTCTGAAGATGTCACTAAACATGAATTTCTGTGTTTCTAAATCACATTCCTGGATCCTGTTATGAAGTGCAAACTTTGCAAACTGCCAGGCCCTCATGACCTGCCATATGCTCCCACTGTATGTCAAGGAAAGCTTCGCGATGGAGTATGCAGGAAGATGTTCACTGATGGCACCCTTTTCTGTGGTGACAAGGCATGGGGCCCAATTTGGGAGCCATCCCTTCGTGAGTAGGCAAAGACACGCTTGCAGATCTCTGTGCAGCAATTAAAAGCGACTGGTCCAGCAACATAAATAAACCTAAACACCGTAGTAGGGCAGGAATAAAGTAAAAATAGAATGGGATACATGAAACAGCGTCATTTACGTGAATTAAAAACTCGAGAGCTAAAACCAAAAGTATATGTTCTGCAAACACGTTTAGAAAGAAAAAGATGACCTTTCTCCAGTAATTTCTTATGGGGGTGGGGGATAGGAAATGAGATTGAGAAAAGGGTATTAGAAAGAAATCTGTAAGTAAACAAAACAAAAGAGGGGTCCTGGGAAGATCAGTGTAATTTAGTCAACATTCCTTCAATTTCTTGAATGTAAGAAAGAGGAGATAAGATGAAAATTACTAGTTTTAGTAAAAAGGCTTCCAGCTACAGAGTGCTTAATTCTAGAGCGATGATAAGAAATTTTTAAAAATTGATCATTCCACGGTGGGGAATATAGGAAAAGGTGGTGGGATACGTTCAGTAGTTTAACAATTGAAAAACAACGGCTTGTCAGGAGTGGGATTCGAACCCACGCCTCCAGGGGAGACTGCGACCTGAACGCAGCGCCTTAGACCGCTCGGCCATCCTGACCCGGCAGGTACGAGCCTTGCTCCAAATTTATTTCTGGGTCTGCAGAAACACGATTCCCTTTGCTCAAGACACGAGAACTTTGGTGAAAGAGTGAGAACAAGTACGCCTTGGAGAGCCGCCCGGGGCGCTCGGTTGCTGGGCGGTCGATGGGCACGGGCCATGCAACCTCGGATCCGGGCCCCCGAGAGGGGCGGGCCGGGTGCGGGCAGGGCACTCTCCCTCCTCTCCGCGGCATCCTAGTTAGATAGTGAAAGCCCCCGCGACGCCGGAGTACACACGCTGTCCCAGGAGGCGCTAGGCCGCTGCCGGCGAGTGCGGCAGAGGCCGGGCCCTCAAGTGCTCGCAGACTCCCCAGCCTCTCCTGTAAACCTCCCAGCTGGTGCTTAGCCCCCCAGCCCCCGACCCCCACCCCGGGAACCGGCTGGTCCGGCTTCTCGTTCTGAGTGCATTTAGTTCTGTGCACTGAGGATTTGCGGGCGTCGCTGTACGGATGTTTTACTGCAATAGTTCCAAAAGGAAACAAAAAGCGAGTAGTTTCTGTATCTCGTAAACCCGGCGGGGGGCGCCCTTGACACCAGGCGTCTCCTGCAGCCGCTTTCCGAACGTACCTAAGGTCAGATGGGACCTGCTTCGGGTTTTCTCGCCCGGCGTTACGGTCAGGACCCTGTGCCCAGAAGAGCACCGACCGGAAGCGCGAGTTTCAGACAAAGCTCGAACTAGTCCGTTGACCGCCAGGCGGATTTTAGACCCGTCGTCTCGCCTCTGTCCATCCGAGAACGTGCTTTCCTGGGCGCTTCACGGCTACGAAAATTCCGTGAAAGAACTCCAGTGCTTCGCCTCTTCAGTTATGCACCAAGTGCCCACCCCCAGGGAACCAGTTGAAGGCAAATTCCCAGTCCCATCCCGACCTGCCGAATCGGACGCCGGGGGGAGTCCAGCCGTGCGCGGCTAGCAGGCGCTCCGCGGAATTCCCAGCCGTGCCCAGGTGTGCGAGGCACCCGCTTAAAGCACAACAACCCTGTAGCTCTTCACGGACGCCCCGCTCTGCCATCCGCAGGAGGTGAAACGGGAAAGCCTGTGGATAGTGCCAGCTGGGAATGGTATTTGGTAAGATTTCCCTCCACCCCTAGGGGATGCTCCTGTGCACCCAAGTTTGAGATCATTATTTTAGGGTGAATCTTTCTTTTAAGGGCAAGGTGGAAGAGCCCCATTCAGAAGTGTTCCGGCCTCTGTGCCCAACAGGTGTGAATCAGAGTGCAGGAGCTCAAAGCGCGCTTGCAAGGGACGCGCGTGGGCTCCGTGCGCGTGCCCACCTGTGCCGCCATGTCTGCACGTGACTCACTGCAGGTAGCCACGGTGACTATGCCCGAAGGAAGGTGCTCCCAGGTACCTGAAAAGCCAGAGCCCAACCTCTCCGGGAGAAAAAATGGAAACAATCTGTAGAGAAGGTTAAAATCCGATTATTGGAGTGGTTGTATGGGAGGAGATGGTATGTAAGCATTTTCTGAAGACAAATCTCTCAAGGATGCAGATAAACTTTCTGGGTTTTAGAGGTCCAGCAATGACCACTGTCGTCTCTTTTAGAAAATTGGGAAATAAAGCCAGACCTACCAACACTGATCATTTCCTCTAGGCGCTGGTAGCTGGTGCCAGCTGGAAAGAGAGCCTCAAGTCTCATCAGGTAAGTTCTTCCTCATTAATGTCTCATGCGAAGAGGATAGACCTGGGGGAGGTGGGAGGGGTTGGAAAGGGACACAAATGTTTCCAACGAATCTACTGTCAGCTCAATACTCTTGTCTGGTGGCCATTTTCCTTGAATGGTCAAAGAAATCATGGATTTTGGGGAGGTCAAGGGGGAAGGGGAGAGGAGTCACAGAGATGATGAAACCTGTGATCATCTTTCTGTTCTCAGAGGGGTTCTTGGGGCAGTCCAGTCTATTCTGGATGATTTCATGTGTACATTTCAGGTTCCACATTATACCTTACATCACCAGAGCAACTGCCAGAGGTTCTTAAGTATTTTTAAAGAAATTTTGGACTTTGTTTTTCTTTGACTTTCTAAAAGAGTAATTTGAGCACAAATGAACACTTAAAGCTAGGTAAATAATGTTTTTCTCCCAGGGGGACCATGGGGGAGGGGTGGCATGGGGTGGACAGCGTCAGGTGAGACGTGTTAGAGGCAGGGGCATGGGAAAGAGGACACTGGGTGTTGGGGATCCATGAAATGACGGAGGAAGGGGCCCTTTCTATCTGGTTCTCCGGGTGCAGGCCCTTGGGCCAAGTTAAAGGTGGTCCACTTAGTTGCTTTGTTCTTCTCCTGACCTTCTTCACGCCTAAGACTCTCCCAAGCCAACAGATGTCACCTTGGTAACTTCCAAGGCTCTTCAAACAGGAATCTTCGGAAAAGGGGTTTCTAAAGATCACCAGGGCTTTTTGTTTTGTTTTGTTTTCCAATTACAAGGTATTACCATTTAAAATTTCCCCAGTATTGCCTCCTCCTGGAAAAGTACTGTTAACATTTGAAGAGGTAGCCTCACTCACCTACACCAGGAGTCCGGTTACCTTTCTAGGAGGAGAGATGGGGTCCCCCTAACCTCCCCTTCCCACCCAACCCCCACCCCTTCAACCCTGCCTGCAGGGGAGTCTTGGACACACAGACCCCCAGTGGTCAGCCAGCTGCATTCCCATGCAGCTGCTTTCCTGTTTTTAAGTCACTTCCACTTGTTGGAATAAAGAAAAGTTGCAGATGCCGCCTTCAGCAATCAACATACTTATTTATTAGCTTAAGACCATGGGCAACATCTACTCTGGAAACTGGAAAAAAAAATTCTGGAAATGGAAGGCGTGAGCCCGGAAAAATCTGCAGTCCGTGGGCATGACGAGCCATGTGTAGCCAGGAAAATGCAGACTGAGCAAGTGTGCTCAGCCTAGCTGGGCCCACCCAGGGATGGAGCAGCATCTGGGGCCTGGGGAGAAGCAGTCCTGGGGACGCAGAGCGTGGGGAGTGAAGGCTGGTGGGGGAACGAACTGAAGGTGCGTTTGGGGGTTTAACCCAGAGGCAGGGTGGAGGGCTGAGGGGCCCCGAGGCCCGACCCTGGCAGATAAAGAGGTGATGTCACTGAGAAGGGTCCTGGAAAGGCTCTGGAATGGACAGATTCTATATAAAAAGAGGAAGAGAGCTGGAAACTTGTGTGGGGTCTACGGAGTGAGGTTGGAAGGACCCCTGGGGTCGGGGGAAACAGGGCGGCTGAGGCAGAAAGGACAGCAGGATCAGGAGCAAGGCCAGCCACCCAGACTGGGTTTCCTCTGAAGTTTTCTCCTGGATCAGAGTTTCAGTCTGGCCCTCAGCCTTGATCATTTCATCCCCTCCCAGGCCCCCGAGCCAATGGCTCAGATCCTACACTAGTAGGGCCAGTTTCTTCTACTCTCCAGGATGTGTCTTCGACAGCTGGACATATAGGCCCAGAAAGTCTAGAAGCCAGCCAGGTGTTCATCATTGGCCTAGGTTCCCCTCACAGTCCTCCATTGTGATGTCCCCCCAAGTTCTTTTATGGGATTTCAGCCTTGAATCTTATCTTCCCAGAACCTTTTGAGTTCCGTGCTTGCCTAAAACCTGTTCCTCTACACATCCCTATTCTGGAGACACAGATGTTTCTGTCATAACCCCATGCCCGTCTAACCCCATCTTGATCACTGAGTTCTCTCTCCCTATAGGATTTGGTCTCTGGGAATAGGAGAATGCTAGAAGCAGCTTTGGAGTCACCTCCCTGCCCCGAGTATCAGCACAGCAACAGAGGAGGAAGGCTCTACACCCCACACTCTCTAGCAGCAACAACACTACCTCCCCAAGACCAACTGATTCCTACCCAACAGGGAGAAACAGGGCCTGGGTGGACCTGGCAGCTGGTGTGTCAGGGGGAACAAAGGGGAGGGCTCAGGACAAAGGGAAGCAGTTGGGTTGGGATATTCCTTAAGGTGCCCTTTGGCTGGGCTGGGTAGGGATTAGTTTAGAATGGAGGGTATCCCCAGAGGCCGAGTCCTCCCCCATGGGGGACAGTGGGATCTCCTTAGTGAAGGCCTTGGCATCAGCAACTACGGTGACTCTCTCAGGCCCATGAGTGACCGGGCAGATGGTGAGGGGCTTTTTGCCACAGGACCACAGGCAGAAGAAAGGCCGGAGCGGGCCAGAGAAGGAGGTATTGGAGAAAGTATAGATATGGGACCCATCGGTCATATTGTAGAAGGAGACGTCACCTGATTCATAGTCCAGGAAAATCCCAACCCGACGAGGGGGCCCTGCCAGGGGGAGAGGGGTCCGCAGCGGGGTGAGGGCCCAGTACCCGTTCCCATACAACTCCACAGCCCAGAACCCATTCTCTGGAGTCATGGGGTCAAACCCTTTCTTCACCACATTTTCCCTGCACACCCCGACTGCCCAGTCAGCCCTGTCTCCCACTTCCACCTCCCAGAAGTGTTGCCCTGACGTGAAGGTCTCACGACCCAACACACAAGGCCAGGAGTCAAATCTCTCTGGTTTCTCAGGCAGCTCCTGACGTGAATCTTCCAGCCGGACAGATCTGGAATCCTCATACAAAAAGAGGTGGGGGTGGGCAGTGTCTGGATCCAGAGTCACATCCACTAGAGAGAGACAGAGAACAAGTCAGCATCAGTGAGCATGAAGTGCTACAAGACTTATTCTTTCTTCTCCAAAAAGAAATAGAGGACTGCTCGAGAAGTTGTCAGGCCGCCTCAGGAGGAGAGCTGTTTGGCCTCCTCCTGTCACCCGTCATGTGTGAGCTGTCACCAATGCCTAATGGGTCCCTGTCAGAGGGGCTTGTCTTCTAAATGTCTTCCAAGGGCCTTCTATGTGCCTCAAGGAAAATGTGGAGGCCGTTCGCCATCATCTTCCCCTATCTATCCTCACCACAACAATCGGTTAGTGTTTTTATTTCCAAGTATGACAGGACTTCGAATCCCTGGGGGATAGAGCCTCAGAGCCCCTGAGAAGTCTGAGAAGTTCAGAGCCACTGACCTGCATGCACCGTAGCCTTTTTCCATCCTGAAATAAAAGAGAGAGAGTCAGTGATGGGTTTCCTAACAAGAGAGAGAACATCTTGTTGTTGAATTCATGACAAGAAGAGAGAACTTACTGAGCTCTTCTAGGAGTTTCTCTGGAAAACAAACAAAAATACCTTAATGACCTTTGAAAGTGGACATGAGGGAGGGGAGAAAACTGGTGTGAGGGACACACAAAGGAGTAAAAGGTCAGTTCAGGATTACTGAAACTTTACCAATAAATGAGAAACAAGAATTATGGGTTTTTTCCTAAGAAATGTGCAGGAAGTTCCTACTGGCTTGAGATCAGATCTTTCATCTTTACTGGGAAACTGAGTTAGAAGTGAGGAGAGAGTCTGAGGGGGGGCAGTGAGGGAACAGCAGTCTGATATCTCAGTTAGCATTGCTTTTGACTCCTTCTACACCCCAGACCTTCATATTGGGTATCAGTGGCTTCTGGTGCCTTATAATCCCCCCTCCCTCGACTCTCAGAATTCTGGAATCGAGTATCTTCCCATTGGCAGCCATCCCAAAGGACTTGGATCCAACCCCACTTGGTAGCACGCCTGACAAGCAGCCTGTGACTTACCCTTAGAGCTGAATTCGTCCTTTCTTTGTCTGGATCTTTCCTTGTAGAGTCTCCAAGTGCAAACTATGGACCCAATTGTCAGAAATCCTAGGACCATCAAGATGACAGCCACCGCCACCATCCAGGGAGTCAACCTTGGGATGAAGGGAGCTGAAACAAAAGACCCAAGAAGGACAAGTTGCTGGGCGACTCTGAGCAGGTACAGCTCTGCTTCTGATGATGACCTGGTCCTCTCCCACTCCTCCCAGGGCAAACAACAGAACTTCCAAGGCTGCTGCTCTAAGCTTTTCAGAAAAATTTTGAGCCTGATCGCGTGCTGCTCACTAGGGGTGAAGTGGGGACTTAGAGGTAGTGACTGGCTAGGCCTTTGGCTAGGGATTTACTAAACCTGCCCTTGGAAGGGACAGAGAAAAAAAACAAAAAGAAATGGCTAGGGGCATCTGGGAGGCTCAATTGGTTAAGCATCTGCCTTCAGGTCAGGTCATGCTCTCAGGAGCCTGGGATCTGGCTCCCAGCTCAGCAGGGACTCTGCTTCTCCCTCTCCTTCTGCCCCCACCCCTGCTTATGCTCTCTCTCTCTCTGTCAAATAAATAAAACCCTAAGAGAAATGAAACAAAACGAAAAGAAAAGGCTAGTTCAAAGCCCAAATTCCTATTTTATGGATGGAAAATATCCAGTTACTACAAGACTACCCTGGATGTCAGCCGTGCTCAGATGGTGGTTCTTCGTATAGGCTGATCAACAGTGCTGGGCCAGGCATCAGGAGGACAGGCCAGACTCGCAGAAGGGTGTTCATTTAGAAGAAAGCAACACTAATGGTCCCCACAACCTCTTGAATTTCTGTTATATTTCAGAAAGCCTTACTGGTTCAGTAATCCCAGTTAATGTTCCAAGAAAATGTATTGTGTTTAATTCTGTAAGGCATACAACAGTGATCTATTTCAGTGTCTGATTTCCCATAAACTTTTGATCATGGGCAAGAAAAAAAGAAGCGTCATTTCGGGAGAGGACGTGGGAAATAAAGAAAGTAATGGATCGATTCATGTTAATGTGGAAATTCCTTCTTAACTATCAATGCAGAATGGGAGCCAAGGCGATGTAGGAAGTAAATCAGGAAGGGAAAATGTCACCTCCATGTGTGACAGAATGGGACTCAATGACCAAAGAATAAGGAGAGGTTCCTGCCTGAAACAGAGATAGCCTTGGGGTGAATAATGAGAATATTTGCTTTCCTGCAGACCCTGGAAACCTAGACAGAGCTCTAGCACGGGATGGGGAAGACAGAGGGGCAAGGGTGGAAATGGGTTTTCTTGTTACTCAAGGACAGAAGGTCCCAGAGACAAAGCTTCTGTATCTAAGATATATCTCCTAAAATGGAAAATCCAGAATTTCACTGAGATTGAGGCCGATGTTATGCATTTAGAATCTTCTCTTCTAATGAAATTGGTGGGACTCCTTCATGTCAGTTGTCAGGAGCTTAGGTAGGGACAGCAGAAAACTACCATGAGGGCCTTGGGCAAGTGTCCCAGGTAATATGGGCCCTGAAACTGTGTCCGATAGGACCCCAGCATCGATTTCACTGACCTGGTATGGAAATGTCTACTTCCTTCTCCTGGCCAAGAAGGAGGTTCCGGATAGAGCAGGATATATTCTTCATGGAGGGGTCTCTGATGATCACCGAAGCTGCTACAGTGAACAGGCCTTCTTCATCAGGATTCCTAGACTCTGAGGTGGATGGAAACTGCTCTCCCCCAGACGTCCTCCACTGGACGTGCGGCTCTGGGTACCATCCTACCGAGGTACACTCCAGCTGGACCTCTCCATTTTCTCGAACTTCCATATGGATGTGAGGATCAGAGCCCAGAGCTGTGGCGAGAGAAGCTGGCCTTAGTCCTTCAGCAGACACCCTTCTGGGAGCCTTATAACCACAGGGTTACACAGTCTGAGAAAGAGAAGGGGACTGGGAGTGGGAGGGCCTTATCCCCTATTTCACGACACACAGAAGATGTGGTATCAATAAAAGGCATTTCATAACCTTATCACAGAGGGATGCCATATTGGGAGTTAGGGTCTGAAGTGAGGGCAGGAGTCTGATAGACAGACATAGGGAGCTTTTCTAATCAGCAGGAGCAGCGAGCTCAATGGCTTAGAGGTGGGTAAGGGAGCTCCAGAGACGGGGGAGGGCTTTGTGGTTGGAGGTATTATGAAATGAATTTGAGGAGGAGAACTAGGAGTGGGCATTTGAGGATGATCAGAGAAGGAGTATCCTTGAGGAGAAAGGGGATTAGAGGTTCTTTGCATTGAGATTGTACCTGATGGCCTAAGTTTCCTTTACCTGCAATACTGATACAGGAATTTTCTTAAATGGGTTTCAACCTCGTCTTCCCCACACACAGTTATGTCCTAACATATCAACATAAAGCTGTTTTTCCCTTCTGTCTTCATCCTGATTATTTTGTTACAATTCTATAGAGTACAGAAAAACATCAAGCTGCAGAGGAAAGTCCTCAAACACATGTCCACACTGTTAGTTGAAATCCAAGTTCCAGGGTGTGTGTCTACATGACAGTATGGATTCTTTTCATGAAAAGGGCTCCCACTTTCAGCAGCATCTCAAAGATGTCTATCACCCAGGGGCGCCTGGATGGCTCAGTCGGTTAAGTGGCTGCCTTCAGCTCAGGTCATGATTCCAAGGTCATGGGATCGAGTCCCACTTGGTGGAGAACCTGCTTCTCCCTCTGCCTGCTGCTCAGCCTACTTTTGCTCTCTCATTCTCTGTCAAATAAATAAAATCTTTAAAAAAAAAAGATGTCTATCACTCATAAAGATAACAATGATAGTTTTATGCCATCACATCTCTAGGATTTTATAATCAACTTTGAAATTAATTCCCTGAAAAGGAAATGTGAAGTTATACATAATGCCACCACACGGGACACCCTGTTCTGAGGCAGGGACCCCAATCACACCCCAGTATTTTTTAAACTTTACCTTTATTTTAATCTATACATAAAAGGCAATGCATCTGTATGCTGCAAATTATGGGGCAGTCTGAGGCACAGTAATAATATCTCACAAGTGTATAATGCTTCTGCAAGCTTCAACAAGGCAGTTTCTTAGGTATTGTCTAACTTTATTTCATTCTTGCAAAATCTTTGATAGATGCACGCCCAGTTTTGCAGTAGGAAACAAGGCTCAGAACGAGATTTGTTCGCTTCCGTTCACCAGTAAGTGGGAAAGTCAGAGCTCAAGGCAGGCTTTCCTCCTGACTGCTTACCGTTTCCATTATGGTTTCCACCCCGAACTTGGGCTTGATGCCAAAAAGAAGACAAAAACCAAAAACTTTTCTTGGTGGATCAAGAATGTTAAGGAGCAGCCCGGCTCTAGGACCTCAGCAAATCCGACCTTAGGTACGAATCCAGGAAGCAGCCTCAAAAGATGCGAACCACAGCCTCACCAGATGGTGAAAAACGGACACGACTTACTTGTTCAGTTCCGAGACTGGGTCAAGCATATTACGGTGTATTCCCGAAGAATGCTGCATTTACTAATTACATGGGGAAATGCTCTGCGCCCACTCTCAACCTGCCAGTCTCCTCCCTCCTCCTCCAGGCCTGCCAACCCTTTCCATCCTAAGAGGGATTTAGGCAAAGAATCCGGTGGTTTCCAAAGTCACGGGGTCCTAAGAAAAGGTATCCCGCCTAGAAGTCACTGGGGAAGCCAAACCCCGCGCGCTCACCGGCCACCTTCAGGTGCACGCTGGCCTCCTCGTAGCTTCCGTCCTGCCGGAAAAAGCATCGGTACTCGCCGTCGTCCGAGGCCCTGACCCGGTGGATCCTCACGGCGACGCGCCCCGCAGCGATGTCGCGGTCCACGAGCGTGGCTCTGCCGCGGTACTGGGCCACCTGCTCCCCGTCCTGCTCGCGCCCGTCCCGGCGCACCAGCAACGCGGCCGCCACCTTCCCGCGGAACCACCGCAGCTCCATGCGCTCGGCGCTCACGTTTGGGGACAGGTGGCAGGGCAGCTCGACGTCGTCACCCACCACGGCCAGGATGGGCTCCGGCGGCCCGATCACGTCGAACTGGGCTGCGAAAAGCAGGGGGCAGACGGGGTGTGCCGGGGGAGCTGAGCACCGACTCCGACCCGAGTCGGTCCCCGCGACGGAAGCTCCGAGTCCACCCGGACCCCCGCGGAGGGCGCTAGCGAGAGCCACGTGGGTGCCTCACCCGTACCGAGAGGTTTCAGCCCGGGTTGCGGGGGGCAGCGCAGAGAGGGAGACCCAGGCGGGACCTACCGGAGTCCGGCTTGGACAGCGGGAGGAAAGCGAGGATGAGCAGACAGCTGTGGAGGCAGGACTTCGGGGAAACCGCCATCTCCAGCCCTCCTGGGGCAGCACGTTGCTGGTGGCCTCCGGTCGTCAGAACTTCCGCCTAGGAGATGAATGCACAGATCACGAAGTTTTTTCAGCCCCCTTCTGCTGCGTCCTCCCACCAGCTCTTTCCAACTTGGGACGCTCTAGATCTTTGCACCTGAAGCCTCCCCCTTGCCTCCTCCCACCCGGTCTGGTCATGTGGAGGCCAAGAAAAACAAGGCTGTACCCACCTCAAGTCCAGCCCTGACATAAGTACAGCCACCTTGACAAAGCAAAAGCTGGCACCTTGCACCCCCTCTCCACCCGCTCCCTTCCCCTCGGTAGTATGTGTGAACAAATAGTTAACTTGCAGAAATCACAATCCTGCAAGACAGGAGTCTCCCTCGGTTTACAAATGTCCCAATGCTCAATCTCACTAACAAGGATGCTTGATAGGAGGAATGTGACATTCCACCAGGAAACTCCCAACTGTCTTCATGTTAGTGCCTCATTAGAGGGACAAATGGCCTTGGCTTGATAATAACCGGGCCTGCAATATTCTGACAGTCTTCTTTACCCTGATAGCCCTTCTGAACACCCGCTTTGTCCTCGCCCACCGCCGAGTCCACCCCTACTCTGCCTTTAAAAACTCTGACTGTAGTCTGGTGCAGGGTCCAAGTCCCTACTCCGCTGTGTCGGGTATACTTGGGCCCAAGCTTAAGCTTGTCAAATAAACTCTCGTGTGATTGCATCGCTGTTGGCCCCTGGGTGTTCTCCCAGACGCAAAAACTCGGGCATAACAGTCAAGCATGTACACTGCCACATCACAGGCCCTAAAACCCCAAGACAATCCTAGAAGGGAATTGTGAGGTGCAGCACCCCGTAATGGGTTGCCTGTCAATGAACAAGTCTTGGAACCACTCACTGCTCTACAAAAAGCCTCTTTTTCCCCAAATATGGTAGTTTGATATTCAATTTCTGCAATGACCATAAAGACGAAGCAATGTAGGCAGAGACAGAAGCCAGGGGACTGAACTGGAGGAGAAAAGAGGGAAGTCACAAGAAAGGGGAGCTGGAGAGAGCACAGGGTCCAGGCTAGAGGGCCCAGGACTGGGGAGGAAGGAGCTGGAAGGACAGCAGATGCCCTCCTGGCTGCTGGCTCTCTCAGGGGAGCCAGGGCAGGCGCAGGTACTGACCTCGGATCTTGGAGGAAGAGGCACCAAGGAGCCTGGCCACGGAGTGACAGAGCTGCTCCTGGCCCCGGGGGCAAAGTTAAAGGGCGGAAGAAGGAAGGGGGAAGTGCTCTCAGCAAAGCCTGCCCCCAGGCCCCAGATGCATTTGCTTTGGGTGTGGGGGGGTAGTTTCCCAGAGAGATGAGGGGGTCCGCATTTGTGGTCTTCAGCTCAAAGACCAGAATATATGTTGATGAGCTAGACTAAATCAAAGGCAGTCGGGTGAAAAAGGAAGAGGGTCAAGACAACACTAAAACGAGATCCTGAGGCCTTAAACCCACCCGTTCATTCACCTCTTCAAGCTCACTTCTTCTACCTCTAAATTAGGAATGTCATTAATAATGCCGTCTTTGGAAAGGCACTGGATTAAATGAGATTACACAAGTAAAGTGCTCAGTACCACAGGGGTTTAGAAGAGGGTGAACTGTTATCCTACTGTGGATGTGAGTTGAAAATTTAAAGGCAGGCTGGGAATGCCTTTGTGATTCAGTTTTCAAGGCCTGCAAGTTACTCCCTGTAAGCAAGTCGGCCTGCATTTCCTTATTTTGGGCTCAATTTCTTCTTGTTACGAAAAAATTTAAAAATATGGAAAAAATGTTGATTTTTAAAATATTTTATTTATTTTTATTATTGTTATTTTGAGAGAGAGAGAAAGAGAGCTGAGGGGTAGGCAGGGGGAGAGGAAGAGAGAACATTAAGCCAGAGCCCCACCTCGGGGCCCATCTTGTGACCCTCAGATCATGACCTGAACCAAAATCAAGAGCTGGATGCTTAACTGTCTGAGCCACCCAGGTGTCCCTTTAAGATTTTATTTTTAAGTAACCTCTGCACCCAATGTAGGGTTCAAACTTTTAAGCCTAAGATCAAGACTCGCATGCCCTACTGACTAAGCTGGCCGCCCAATCCTGGAAAAACATTTTTAAAAAAGTAGAAATTACTCATAATGTCACCAACTAATGATAGCCTCGATTCACATTTTGGCAGAATTGATGAAGATTTGCATAATTTGAAACACTGTTTATGCCTACTCCTTATCATATCGTCCCAAGAGGGTGGGACATCTTAGTAAGTTTTGGGGTGGATTTTTCCTTTTCTTTTTTCTTCTTTTTTGCCCACTATAACTAGTGCACTTTATACATAAGTCTTTGTCCACATCGTTGATAACTTCCTGACAAATTTTCTGATAAATTCCCAGAAATACAGTCATCAGGTCTATAAGTTGAATCAGGAGTGTTTTGCCAAAGTTCCCTCCTGAACTGATCACACCCTTAATGGAAATGTCTTTCTCATCTAATTCCTGTCAACTCTGATGGCCATAACGGCCCACATCTCTAATGCAATGGGTGAAACCAGTCAAATAGTACTTTGCTAGGCATTTATATGGCAGTGGGGCTGATTCTTTTTCATATTAACCATTTAATATATTCTGGAAGTGATCTTTTCAGGCAAATTGTCCATTTTCACCCCAGAAAGATTCTGCTGCTGTTTCTTGTCAATCTGTATGCACTTTGTATAAATCAAAGATGTCAGTCCTGTATTATACTTGTGGCCCAAATTCCTCACCACCCTAATCTGTACTTTGCCTTTTAATGGAGACTATGAGTAAGACTAACAGAAGAGTGGGACTCCAGCTGACTTGCCAGACTTCCAGGATGACTATTCCCAAGTGTTCATCTGATCCTGTCACTTTTTGCTTAAAAACCCCTACATGTTCCCTCCGTGACCCCAGCACCAAGTTCAGACACTACAGTGTAGAAAATGCTGTATGATCTAGCGGTCTCCCTGCTTCCTTCCTCTGGGCCTCTTCTCCCTCCCCTCTGAGGACCACCCAGGGGCTCAACCCACACCTTTTCAGGCCTCCAGATGGCCCTGCTAACAACAAGCAGGGCCTCTCTTCCTAGAGCATCTGCTTCCTCGTATCTGCAGACAAACCCCTGCTCTTCCCTCGAAAGCTCATTTAAGGGCAACCTCTTCCAGAAGCAAGTGTGTGCCGCCAGTCTTCTAGACCTTCCTTCCTTCCCTTGTTGAACCTTCCTGGGGTCCCATCTGAGCACCATAACCAAAGGGGGTTTAGGAAGGAGCTCCCAGCACTGCCCAACTCAGGTAAAAAAAAAACACCTCAGGGAGTGCCTGGGTGGCTCCGTGGGTTAAGCTTCTGCCTTCAGCTCAGGTCATGATCTCAGGGTCCTGGGATCGAGCCCCATGTTGGGCTCTCTGCTCAGCAGGGAGCCTGCTTCCTCCTCTCTCTCTGCCTGCCTCTCTGCCTACTTGTGATCTCCCTCTCTGTCAAATAAATAAATAAATAATCTTAAAAAAAAATCCAAACAGTTAAAGAGCTTTTAAGAAAAGTTGTCAGTCCCTCTCCCCCTCTCCTCATTGCCCAGAAACAGCTGCTTGCTTGTTTTATCTGGCATTTATCTACATTTTTTCCAAGACTTTAACATAATTTTTTTAAAGATGGGTTTATTTACTTGAGAGAAAGAGAGAGTGTGTGCACATGCAGGGGTGGGGGCAGAGGGAGAGAATCTTCAAGGAGATCCCCCTGCCCACCAACCCACGAGATTATGACCTGAGCTGAAACTGAGTTGGTCGCTCAAGCGAACTGAGCCCCCCAGCTTCTGTCGCTTTTTCTTGACATACCCATTTTTTGATATTACTTTGCAGAGCCCTATCAATGAAGTCAATGAGAGTTTAATTCTTGTGACAGTTAACTTCACGTGTCAACTTGACCGGGCTGAGCAATGTCCAGAGAGCTGGCAAAACATTATCTCTGGGTGTGTCTGTGAGGATGTTTCTGGAAGAGACAAGCATCTGAATCCGCAGACAGTTAAAGCAGATTTCCCTCCACAATGTGCATGGCCCTCATCCACTCCACTGAGGGCCTGAAGAGAACAAAAAGATGGGGGAAGGACAGTCTGGTCTCTGCTTGAGTTGGTGGCGGGAGGGTCTCCATTTTATCCTTCTGTCTGGTTCTCAGGCCTTGGGGTTTGGACTGGAGCTACGCTCCCACTATTCCTGGGCCTCCAGCTTGCAGGGGGCAAATCAGGGGGCTTCTCTGCCTCCATAATCACAGGAACCAGCGTTCCTAACACATGGTTTTCTATACATCTGTATATATCCCCTTGGTTCTGTCTCGCTGGGGAACCCTAATACAACAGAAATAGATCCCTTCTGTTCAATGTTTCCAATGCTATTGGTTATGTAGCTGTGATTTTTATGGATCTAAGTATCACATCTGATGTCATTTCTTTTCCTGTACAACTTCTTGGGCTTTTCGGGGACGGAGGAGAGAAGGCATTAAATGGTTCATCTCGTTCCTTTGCTTACTTTTCTGTGCTCTCATCAGGCATATTTCCCACCCTCTAACAGCCGGAGTACTGTTTCCACCGAGGAACACACCGGATGATTTATCAGCACTCGGTCCTCCCCGCTCCACCCCATCCCTCCCAGAGCCGGGCTTCTTTAACTTACCTGAGCCTATGCTTCCCTGGAGGGTTTTCTAAATAGCAGATTCGGATCCGGTCGGCCTGGAGCAAGATCCGAGTCCTCCCCCCACTGCTGGTCTGCAGAGCTTTACCTTGATCCTTACTCAGAAGCCGCAGGTGAGGCGACGGCTCTGGGCTTTCCATGATTGTGGAGATGGCCCTGAGGGGCGGCTCTGGCTCAGGGTCTCGGGCTTCTTTCTTTTGCTGAACCGAGCTAGGAGAAAGGATGAGAGCAAATGGGCACCAAGCAGGTGTCGAACTGAACACAGTGGCCTGCGAGGGAGCTTTGTCGTCAACCGCTCTTTCTTGGGGCACACATGGTTGGCACGCTGGTAATAATCAGAAGTGACCTAATGATATGTCCACATTGTAACAGTGATCCCACTCCCCTATTTACCCAGCCTGTGTTCAATTTACGTGAGTTGCCACAGCAGGCTTTGCATGTATGAAGGGCGGCTAGAAAGGAAGTGGGGAGACCTGGAGACGATACAGACGGATTTCTGTGTATTAGAGGGGCTCGTGGAGGCAGATGGAGATGAAGTGTGCCCTGGCGAGCAAGAAGACACTGAGGTCTGATTGAGTGGGGACATCTTTGAGTCATATTCCTGGAAATGCTTTCGAAATGAAGAGTTCCAGGAAACACAGAGGAGGGACAGACAGGGAACTTTCTGGAGTCGGCCAAGTGCAATTGGACCGAACAGGGGAAAATAGGAGGATCCTGGGAAAGGGTCAGGGTTGTGTGGGCCACTGTTTGAGTTCTTTCCAGAATGTACCCCCTGCCTCTTTTCCTGCTACCTGGTAGGCAAACCCTCCAAAGCATGGCTACATGCATTCACCCTCTTTGGGGAGGCTATACAAACCTGAAAAAACAGAGTTTAGCCTCTTTTTGGCTGAGGATCTTTCAGGGTGAGTATCACAGAAAAGTGTATGCATGCAGGTGATTACTGAGAAACAGACAAGACAGACACACACACATACACACACACGCAGAGGCAGACTGAGAAGAGGTAAGGAGGGGAAGGGAGGGAGGGAGGGAGAGTGAATGCTAGATTCTGAAGGCTCCTCTTTTTTCTCCAAAGAAAAGAGACACCATGCTAAGAATCGTCTATTATCCTCACAAAAAGACCTTTTCCAGCCTGTTCCCTGGCCTCCACTCCCAGCCCATAGCCACCACCCTCCTGCCTGCAACCTCTTCCCCCCTCAACTTCTTTCCTAATTATCAGCTATAGATGATGTGCCTTCAAGTTACTCTGGGAGAAATGAGTTCACCAATCTTAGGGTCACTTTCCAAGAGGCCTATATGTCTCCTAAGGAGAAAGCTGAGGCAATTTACACTGTCTTCTCTCTGCCCTTATTGCTAAAATGCTGTCAGTATTTTTCATTTTCATGTATCCTGAGGCTTCAAATCCAGTAAGCAGAAGCCCAGAATCCCAGAGTAATGAAGAGTCACTAATATATGTACAATTGTGGTTCTTCCATTCTGCCATAACAGAGAGGTTTTATGAGATGCAAAGCCTTGTTTAAAGAAAAATGGGGGCGCCTGGGTGGCTCAGTGGGTTAAGCCTCTGCCTTCAGCTCAGGTCATGATCTCAGGGTCCTGGGATCGAGCCCCGTGTTGGGCTCTCTGCTCAGCAGGGAGCCTGCTTCCTCCTCTCTCTCTGCCTCTCTGCCTACTTGTGATCTGTCAAATAAACAAATAAAATCTTTAAAAAAAAAAAAGCCACTTAAAAAAAAAAAAAAAGAAAGAAAGAAAAATGTGGGATAACTCCAGAATTCTCCAAGCTCTTTTAGGAGTTTCTTTGGAAAATAAACAGAACTAAAGTAATTAAGATTTAAGACATGGGAAGGAGGATGGAAAGTGCTTATGATTCACACAATGGAGTGACTGTTCCCTTCTGTGAATACCTGATTACTGAAAACAGATCAATAAATCATGAACAAGAATGCACTTTGTTTCAGTTTAAATTCTTAGAAATCTGCAGGAAGTTCCTTTTGGCGCCTGGATGTTAAGTAAGAAATGTTGCTGTACTTGGGGAACTTACCCAAAAGTCTGGAGCCAAATTCGGGATGGATGGGAACGAGGGCTGGGAGCCTGATGGGGTTCTGACTTTTCTGTGGTCATGCTGGACCCCACCAGCTAAAGGCCACCTGTGGCGGAACCCAGTTGACTTTGATGGTACTTGTGAAAGCAGCATGGATCCCACACACGGTGGGTGGGCTGGGAGGGGTGGGGTTCAGTGAGAGGGCGTGGGAGGAACTTACAGGATTTCAGTTTGGTTGGGAGTTTGGAAAGGTTGCTCTGGATGGATGCTGTTGGAAACCAGGCGACTGGGATCCAATATTCCAATTTTTATTAGGAAGTAGAACAGAGCCGGTTAAAACTGTAATTGGTAAAGCAGCAGCGAGCCTAGACAGGCATGTATGGTCCTTTTTGTGGTTTGCATGTGGTCTTGTATTTTTGTCTGTGCTCCAGCCTGATTACAGAGGGGAGGTGTTTTGTCTCCACAGTTACGGCATGTCTGATGCTGACAGCAGCAGTCATACCTGGTTTTTGCTTTCTCAGAGACCACAATCTCCTTCAGATCTAAAGGTATTTGGGATTTTATAACCTTGAGAATCCCTTCCAATTTTTTCAAAATGGTTACTTATTTATGTAATCTCTATACACCAACGTGGGGCCAGAACTCAACCTCAATCAAGATCAAGAATTTCTGGGGAGCCTGGGTGGCTCAGAAGGTTAAGCCTCTGCTTTCAGCTCGGGTCATGATCGAGTGCCGCATCGGGATCCTTGCTCAGTGGGGAACCTGCTTCTCCCTCTGCTGCTCCCTCTACTTATGCTCTCTCTCTGTGTCAAATAAATTAAAAAAAAAAAATCTTAAAAAAAAAAAACAACAACAAATTTGCCTGTTTAAAAAAAAAAAAAAGATCAAGAATTGTATGCTCTTCCGACTGAGCCAGCTAGTCACCATGAATCCCTTCCAGTTTTGAAAAACCTGGAATCTTCTTTCTAGATTCTGGATTGGGATGACTTTTAACTGGCAGTCATCTTGAAAGATATGGAATCCAAGCTCGTCTAAGGCACAAACACCCGTGACAAGCAATCAAACTCATCCTTCCTCCCTGTGTGCCCCTCCCCAGCCCCATTTCATTCCAAAATAAAAATACTGTCCAGATGAGAAGCCTCAGGCATGTGATGACCAATGAGCAGAGATTCAATCTTAAGATGAAAGGGAGAAAAAAGAAGCCCCAGAAATTCTGATGATGCAAGGTAGCAGAATAGGCTACCCCAAACATGCCACTTTGTCACAGAAATTCTTCTGAGCTGAAGGTAATTTAGAAGCAGCCACCGCAGTTAGAGGCAAAAACTTCATTATTTTAGTTCTGGACGCTGTAGTGAAAATGCATTTTCTTTGGAAATATCCATTAAGTGCATTTTTTTAAAATTTTTTTTTAATTTTTAAAGATTTTTATTTATTTATTTGACAGAGAGAGATCACAAGTAGGCAGAGAGGCAGGCAGAGATAAAAGAAGGGCGGGGGGAAGCAGGCTCCCCGCCGAGCAGAGAGCCCAATGCGGGACTTGATCCCAGGACCTTGAGATCATGACCTGAGCCGAAGGCAGCGGCTTAACCCACTGAGCAACCCAGGCACCCCCATTAAGTGCATTTAAACGCTGCCAGAAAAAAACAAAGCAAAAACAAAAACAAAAACCTGTTTAAACTACTTTTTGTATTTAATAGTTACTTGTATAAATTGAAGGTTTTCAAGTTAGGAAAAAAAAATAACAGGGTGCCTGGGTGGCTCAGTTGGTTAAGCATCTGCCTTTGGCTCAGGTCATGAACCCAGAATCCTGGGACTGAGCCCCACACTGGGCTCCCTGCTCAGCGGGGAGTCTGCTTCTTCCTCTGCCCCTCTTCTCTGCTCATGCTCTCTCAAAAATAAATGAAAAAAATTTTTAGAAGATTTTATTTATGTATTTGACAGAGATCACAAGTAGGCAGAGAGGCAGGTGGGGGGGGGGGCTGGTCAGGGAAGCAGGCTCCCTGCTGAGTGGAAAGCCCGATATGGGGCTTGATCTCAGAACCCTGAGATCATGACCTGAGCCGAAGGCAGAGGTTTAACCCACTGAGCTACCCAGGTGCCCAAAATTAAAAAAAATCTTAAAAAGAAATAAAAAGGAAAAAAACAGCCAACACTGCTTTTTACCTTCCCCCTTTTCTACGTAAAGGCTGGATATAAATTCTCCTTTTACCGGAGAATGACATCTACCTGTCCAGAGAGGAACCAGAATGATCTGCAAACTTTCCTCTGACTCCCTCCCTTCTTTTTACCTTCCATTGCGGCCTAAATTTGTATTCCTTTGTCCTGTCATTTCTCTGTAAATTGACTGTCCTTTATTGAAGGTGGTAAATAAGCTGGAATTCTAAACTGCCATTCAGAGTTATTTTCACGTAGGTTCCTCTCTTGTGATGCATTAACTGTTTTTCTCTTGTTAATCTTTTTCTACCGTCCTACCTGAAAACCAAAGATGGGGAGGGGTAGTCCCCCCCCAACAATGATCTAGGGAGAAAGAGCAGGGTGCCCCATGATGTACCCCTCTGGAATATTGATTATCTAAAGTTACTTAGGAAACATTGAGTTCAAGGACACCCACACCCTCCTCCATCCCACTGACAGCAGGAAGCAAATCTCCCATATGAAAAATACCCTCCTGGTACTAAGAAGTAAAAAGGCATCCACATTACCAGAGAATAGGGACCGGAGAAAGGCAAGAAAGAGGACTGGGTGGGATTGTTCTCAACCCCAAGGCTCTTTGGCTCTCAGCAAAAACAGACATTGACACAAGGCCAAGAAAAGATTTAGGGAGTGTTTATTGAGGCTCATGCCCCAGTACCAGGGAGGCAGCACTGGGAACAAAGGTCCGGGAAGTTTGCAAAGGGGATGAGGCAGGAGAGCAGGGACATCCCAGCTGGAAGGGGTGGAGATACGAAAACTGCTTGCAGGTGCAGCGGATAACTCCCGTCCACAGGCAGCGTGTGTCTCATTAGCATGTCAGGTCTTCATCCTGAGGCCAAGAGTGTTAGGACTGTCCAAGTATTATGATTGTCTTTAGAACTGTTGGAGGAAAGAGCAGGTGGAGGGTCAGCGCTGGGGTCCACTGTGGCACAGGCTGGTTTAGTCTGGATTCTTCTCGAGAGTTTTTTCTGGCAAACATCTCCTTTCTGCATCCCTGAAATACACTCCTCAAAAACGAGTGGGTGGTTCAGCCTTTTCTTTCTTCTTAGGTGATACACAGAGCAACGGGCTTCGTGGTTAGGATGGGATAGGGTCCCAGACACAGCCCCTATTCTATTTCAGTCACCCCCTGAGAGATTTTACCCTGCTTATTCCTAGGGAGTAGGGGCCGAAGGTCTCATCTTCTGAAACTGCTTCTTGCTGAGTGGGGTGTTGTCCCTGTCCTAACCTGGAGGGGTACAAATCTCTCACCAAATTTTCTAACGCCCTATAGGGACGTTGCTCCTCTTGGGACCGGTATGTGGGACCCTTGTGCTACCACAGTTCCACAGGAAACTGCTGTCATCTAGAAGACACAAACTTAAACAAACGATTAAAGGGGCAGGGCCTGAATAATAACAAAAGAATGATGACCACAAGAGAGCCCAGGAAAGGGAGGAATCACACAATGTTAGGCAGAGAGCCTCTGCCTGCGTCCCATAGTTTGGGCAGTGTGATTATCGAACCATCTGGTTCGTCTGTAAGTCTCCTGTACGTTTGGTTCCACTTCCCCAGAGCTGTTGATGTAGGCACAGCAAGTGTTGTTGACTACCGCACAGACACCACCTTGTTTGGCCAGAAGATAATCTAGAGCTAACCGCGTGTCAAGTACATTAGCCACGGAATCCAGGGACTCCTGGAGGCTCTCTAAGCTGTCACCAGTGTTTGTGGCCAGGTTTTCTATGAGCTGGGTAAGGTTTTTTAAGGTTGTTTCATGATAAGCAAACCCCCTCCAGGGGGCAGCCAGTCCTATGACTTCTCCAGTTGCTGCCAAGATAAGCCCAAGTGCTCTCTTATGTCTGGTTTGAGAGGTGATGTTATATATAGTGGCGCCTAACCCTTTAGGGCCCAATCGTCCCAAAGTGCATTCTCCCCGGAAGTGAACATTATCTACACACGAATAGGCCACTGCCTGAAGAGGCTTGGAGAAGGAGGATTTAGGGCTCCCTTCGTAGGGTAGCTTATTTTGGGGGGGACCGCAGAGAAACAGATACCCTGGTGGGGTACAAGCTTGGCGGGGTGAAGAGGAGTTAAACCAACTTCGTAAAAGGCGACCCCAGTTAGGTGTACTCTTGCATCTGGGGGACAGCGGCCCTCCATCCAGTGGCCCCCCTCCGAGCTCTGAATCCTCTTCTATTCCCTCCTGGCTATCAAAGGCAGATGGGGTCTGATAGGTGAGCCTCCAGGAAGGGGTTGCTATTCCTTTCCAGTAGGTACAGGAGAAGTTAGGTTGGTCGCCTTGGGAGAGAAGAGAGGAGTCCACACACCAGTGGGTCTGGTTGGGAGTACATGAAGAGCTTGAAGAGGAAAATGACATAGGATAAATGGAGGGCAAGCTTCCCACATTGGTAAGGCAAGTGTGTGTCTGGCAGGGGCAACAGGGCTGTCCTTGCTCTCGACAGAGAAGAGGCCGCTTAACCTGGAGACCGGTTTGGTTCCAAGAGTCTGTAAGCCCGACACACTTCATATCATCGCGATCATCGAGTTCTACTACTAGAAGGGCTGTGCTCCTAATAGGACCAGAAGTCAAGGTGAGAGTAATATCCTCATTGACAGGTACAAACTGGAGCTTCGGAACCCCGTCTTGTGGGGGAGGATGACAGATCCAACAATCAGAGAGGTTATTTCCTGAGGCCACAATGCTAGAAATGTTGACAATTGCGTTTTCTCTCCAGGTTTCCCCGCCTTTGTTATTTTCTTCCCAACTCATCCCCGGGAGAAGGGCCAAGAGAAGAGTCCACTTCATCAGTCTCATCATTGGTTTTGATCTTCTAGACCCCGCAGGGGCAGAACGGGTCTTTCCCAGGGAGAAGAGATGACCCGAAACAGTACTCACAGAGAAGGGAAAAGTAAAACAAAGGCAACAAAAGGCTTAAACACTTATCTGACTCTGAGGGTCGCTTCTTGAACAAGTATTTGAGGTCTTCCACAGGCTCACATGAGTCAGATGGTTCTGGGCCTTCTGGGCATTTCTGAGGATGTCCAGGAGAAAAAAGGTTTTAGCCTAGAAAGATGTACCCGGCTAGGGTTTCCTTGCAGCTTAACTGCTCTTGGGGTGGCTAAATTCAGTCAATAGGGGACTTTCCACTTGGGGAGCAACTGATCCTCCAAGGAGCCCTCCTTCCAAGGTTTTCAGGAGGACCTGATCCCCTGGATTAATTTGCCCAGGTTGGGGTGGCAGGGAGGAGAAGGGGGTCACTTCTAAATGACCTCTAGGGGGTGCTGGTAGCATGTGATTAGCATAATCCACAATGGCTTTTTGCACCTGGCCCAAATAAAATGACGCAAGCTCTGGCTTATGTTCCCAACCAGTAAAATATCGGGGGTGAGGAGGAGTCTCCCATGTCCTTTCAAATGGGCTGAGTCAGCTTTGCGCAGTGGCAGTATCATAGCCAATGAGGTTTATCCGAGGCACATTTATTGCTAATTGAAAACTTTTGCCAAATGGGCTGAGTCTTAGGTTAGTCTTAGGGACTGTGGCAATCCTGGGTAGTGCGGTAGGAGGCAACTGGACACAAGGCTCATGAGTTTCTTGACACTGTTCCTCAAGTCTTTTCTAGGGTATGATTCATCTTTATTTTATTTTATTTTAAAGATTTTACTTATGTATTTGACAGACAAAATCACAAGTAGGCAGAGAGGCAGGCAGAGAGAAAGAGGGAGAAGCAGACTCCTTGCTGAGGGGATCGATCCCAGGACCCTGAAATCATGACCTGAGATAAAGGCAGAGGCTCACCCCACTGAGCCACCCAGGCGCCCCATGATTCATCTTTTCAACCTGCCTGAGGAATAGGGGACCCAGGGAGCATGCAATTTATAATTTATTCCCAGGGCCGCTGAAAGGCTCTGCGTATTTCAGCTGTAAAAGGAGTCTCTCACTTTGCAGACTTGGAGAGCCCAAACTGGGGAACTTTCTTTTAGGAGGAATTTATAGACCTCCATTGCCTTCCCATACCAGGTGGGGAAGGCTTCTACCCATTCAGTACAAGTATCAACAAACACAAGGCGGTATTTGTGGCCGGCTCATGGTGCAGCAGACTAAAGACTACTTCGCCCATTTTTCCCAGGATACATCCCCTGGTGTTGGGCTGGTGTAAGAAGTGGGGGCTGATTGGATGGGTCTGTGGTTTGCTTTGGGTGCCCAAGTCACAGGCGAGGGTAACTTGTTTTATAGTCTAAGTCCCTATCCTGAAAAGACCTTTCACACCAAGTCCTATAGGAGGTCTCTTCCATAATGGGTGACATCGTAGAAATGTTGAATGAGCTTTTACTGCTGGGCCTCGGGAATAAGAATTTTGTCATCTCTCATAAGCCACCCAGGGCTTTCTTCTGTATATTCCTACCTCTTTGCCTCCTCCTGTTCCATCAGGGGGTTCTGAGGGTGACTGGGGAACTCATGGTGGTAATCTGAGCTGGCTCCTGAGATCAGGTGGCCTGTTTAACCAGCTGATTGGGGGTGCCTGGGCAGCTCAGTCCCTTAGACGTCTGCCTTTGGCTCAGGTCATGATCCCAGAGTCCTGGGATCGAGCCCCGCATTGTGCTCTCTGATCGGGGGGGGAGTCTGTTTCTCCCTCTCCCTCTCCCTCTGCTGCTCCCCCTGCTTGTTCTCTGTATCAAATAAATAAATAAATAAAATATTTCAGGTGCCTGCGTGGCTCAGTGGGTTAAGCCGCTGCCTTCACCTCAGGTCATGATCTCAGGGTCCTGGGATGGAGCCTCGCATCGGGCTCTCAGGAAAGGTAATGCTATGGCCCATCGGTCCCGTATGCCAGAGGTTATTCAGGTTTGGATCTTCAAGTCCAAGTAAAGTGAAACAGGAGACAAGAAGACAAGTATGCAACCAGAAATGGCTTCGTCAGTATTACAACACCTCAAGAGGTGTTCCTTTCCATTGCAGGAAAGGAAAATGCCGGATGGGGGGTGCAATAAGAGAGTGGGGCCGTAAATTTATGGCAGCATTTATCTGGGGACTGAGAAAGACCAGGAGGTAGGAAACAAGCGAGATTGGGTGCTGGGGTTAATGGAACTCTTTTTAACTGTACTGGTCCGAAAGTTTTGGAATCTGTTCCGTTGGGCATCAACCATCCAGGGGGAAGAGGAATGCCGACAAAACCTAAATCAGTTAAGGGGAGGCAGATCCAGCAAGCAGTGTTTATAGGAGAAGATGTAGAATGAAGCCAGAAGTGACAGGTGATATTTAGGAATTGGCGAGTATAGTTAGCAATAGAGGGACCAGGGGGAGCACAGGAGGGAATAGGAGTCCGTCCTCCCCTTACGTCGGAGTGAAAGTATGGCCACTGGGTCCTTTCCAGTGACATCCAGCCAGAGTCCCCAGGACCTCTGTTGATCCCAATAAGCACTTTTGCACCGCCGTGGAGTGAAAGACAGAGTTGCTGCTGGATTTCCAGTTTTAAGAGGGGAAACAGTGAGATGTGAGTCCGTTTCCATCCAGGGGGCGAGAGTTTTGCCTCCCCATTGGGAACAAAAGCCATCTGCTTTACCCCTACATCCCGCTGTCTCCTGGACAAATGTATATATTGTCCCCAGGGCGACACAGACTTGCTCAGGGCCAAGACAGGAGCTGACACTGTGGTACTTGGAAGGTAGGACGCTGGGTTGGGGAGGTGGTCTGGTTGGCAATAACAATTTCTTTCCTCCCTTGCCCCCCGGATGGCCCCACCCATTCTCTAGTCAGTGTCCAGACATGGATACTGGCCTGAATCTCTAGGGGTGCCAGGAGGAGAATAAGTATTACTCCACACTGGATTCCCCAGTTTTGAGTCTGGTACTTTGGGGGCCCTTTTTGAGAGTAACTTTTAAGGGGTCTGATGGTGATGGATGTGAAGTCCAAGAGATCTGTTCTGGATTGGTCTTTTTAACTCATGAGTGGTGGATCCATGGTGTGAGGCCGGAAACCCTGAGGGCGGTAGGGGTTATAAGTAGACGGACAGGTGTATGTTTCCAATCTTTTACCCAGACTTCACCCCCAGGGCGAAAGGAATGGATGGGAGTTCCTAGTGATACAGGGGCTCTCGCCAACAGGTGGGCATGTAGTTTTGTAAGGACTTGTCCTACGAATTTTAGTTGGCTTTGGAGATGTGTATCCCCTAAGACCTTGAGATTACTGGGGGTGGGGATTAATAAGGTGGGGCAGTCTGCCATAGAGTATTTCAAAAGGAGAGTACCCATGTTTCTGTGGAATACAGCGGGAACGGAGGAGTGCTAAGGGGAGTAACTCTGTCCAACCCAGGGAGGTTTCAGCACGTAATTTGGAGGGTTTCCTTTAGGGTACAGTTCATGTGCTCTATTTTCCCTGAACTCTGAGGTTGATAGGCCATATGGAGTTTCCAGGAGATGTTAAGGGCTGAAGTTAGTCCTTGTAGAACTTCTGAGATGAGAGCAGGGCCACTGTCACTGTGAATGGTGAGCGGAATCCCGTATTGGGGGACAGTTTCCTGGAGAGGTACCTTGGTGACTTCTCTGGCCCTTTCAGTTTGAGTGGGAAAGGCTTCAACCCATCCTGAAAAGGTGCAGACTAGGACAGAGACATTTGATGTCTCAGTGAGGGACCATCTCGGTGAAATCTACTTCTAAATCTTCAAAGGGTGCTGTCCCTATGTGTTGTAGCCCAGGGGGCAGAGTGCGCCATTTTTGGATGTTTAGTACAAGTGACCCAACGGTCCATGACCGACTTAAACAGTGTTGCGAGTCTGGCGATGTAGAAGTGTTTCGCCAGAAGTTTTTCCAGTCCTGTTTTTCCCCGGTGCAAGGTTGAATGTTGTTCCGCAAGTGCATGAGGGGCGAGGGCCGCGGGAAGGAACAATCGCTCGTCTGGGAGGACCCACCATCCTTGCGGGTGCTGGACTGCTCCTTCGGTCTTGGCCCAACTATCTTCGGCAGCCACGTAACGTGGGATTTTGCATGGAGGGAATGATGGGAGCTATGGTGGCAGGTTGCCTGTTTTGTGCAGCTTCCCTGGCTGCTTGGTCAGCTCAGTAGCTCCCGGTGGCAGGCTCATCATCCCCTTTCTGGTGTCCCCAGCAACAAAGGACAGCTAGGCTTTGGGGGGCCCGTACCATCTCTAATAATGTCAGGAGCCCCCTTTCTTTGTATATTGCCCCGTGCACATGTAAGGTGGCAAAGGCATATCTTGAGTCAGTGTATATGTTGAGCTTTTTGTCCTTTGATAATGTAAGCACCCATATTAAGGCCCAGAGGTAGCCCTTTGAGCAGACCATCCTGCAGGGAGGGCTTTAGCTTCCAGGACCTCCGTGGCTGTGGTGACAGCATAACCCGCTTTCCTTGAACCATTACTCAGGAAGTTGCTGCCTGTATAGGGTGAGGTCAGCGTTTGTTAAAGGGGAGTCCTTGAGGTCCGGATGGGTGGCGCATACTTCAGTAATGATTTCCAGACAGTTATGTTCTAGTTCTCCTTCTGCCGTCAAAAGGTATGTGGCTGGGCTCAGAGCCTGTACAGTCTGCAAGGTAATGTGGGGATTTTCCAGGAGTAGTCCTTGATACTGAGAGAGCCAGCCATTTGGTATCTGTTTTTGACCTTGGCCGTACATTAGAGTTACTACTGAGTGGGGAACCTTTACCGTTAGCTGCTGTTCAAGAGTGAGTTTGTCATCTCCTTTGATAAGGAGTATGGTAGCTGCCAGGGCTTGCAGGCAAGGGGGCCATCCAGAAGCGACGGGATCTAATTTTTTGGACAGGTATGCAACTGGCTTTCTCCAGGGATCTATGGGCTTGAGTTAGGAGCCCTAAGGCTGTTTTATCCTTTTCATGGACATATAGGCAGAAAGGTTTTCCGGTGTCAGATAGGCCCAGGTCTAGAGCTTTTCCAAGTAGGTCCTTATGTTCCTTAAAGGCTTTTTCTTGTGTGCCTTTCCATTGTAAAGGCTGTGTCTCCAAGTCCCGCTAGCAGATTGTACAGAGGCCTGGCTATGACTGAGAACCCCGGTATCCAGATCCGGCAGAATCCTGCGGCTCCCAGGAACTCACATAGGTCCCACTTAGCAGTGGGCTGTGGGAAGCTAGCTATTATAGCCTTTCATTCTACACTGAGGGCTCGCTTCCCTTGAGTTATTATGAATCCCAAATATTTAACTTCTTATCTAAGTTGAGCCTTTTCCCAAGAGACTCGATATCCTCTCTTCGACAAGTGTTATAAGAGGTCGAGTGTTTCCCAATGGCGGGTCTCTTCAGTGGGGTTGGTGATGAGAAAGTCGTCCACATACTGGAGGACTGTGCAACCAGTCTGTTCTCGGGGAACGTCAGCCAGGTCCGAGGCCAGGGCTTCACTGAATATTGTTGGTGAGTTATTGAAGCCTTGTGGGAGCTGGGTCCAGGTTAGCTGCATCTGGCACCCTGTGCTGGTATCAATCCATTCAAAGGTGAATAGGGGCTGGCTTACTGGGGCCAAGGGAATGCAGAAGAAGGCATCCTTTAAATCGGGGCAGGTGAACCAGGCAGCGTCTGGTGGGATATGGCTTAAAAGGGTGTAG